CCAATTCAGCAACATAGTCATATAGATAAACATATTGTCATTGTCCATCTCCTACCAAATAATCCATTGCAAGTTCCTCTGCTTTGCTAGTCCTCCAAGGTGTTATGCCAATACTATATGTCTTCTTAATTTCATCAATTATTTGGTTCACTGTCATGTTTCTTACATCTATAAATCTGTCAACTAATACTTGTGTATTCCACTATACATTTGCACTTTTGCTACAAAAAACTCTTCCACATTTATCACGTCCAACAAGTGTCTTAACCATAAAGGTATGACTGCCTCATACCTTGTTAGCCATAATTAAAAAACCACACTTCTTTTTACATACAGTCCTCACTCTCTTGTGATCGTTCTTCATAAATTTAACTTCTTTTCCATTTAAAACTCTATGCTCCAATATTGCATGCTTAAAACCTTCAAAGAACAAAACTCCATCCTTAATTTAAATTTGAAGCTCTTGTTCATATCTTCAGGTCTATACTTTGAAAACTTCTGCCTATTAACAATAACACACCCTCATCGCTACCCATATCTGAAGACAAATCATTAGTATTGTATTCTTCATTTATTTCATACACTTCAACTTCTTCGTTAATGATAAACGACAATTTACCACTATTTATTCTACTTCTCACTATTTTTTTCCTTTTTTTTCCAATTTTGTCCAACTATCCAATACATGATGAATATTTCTACGTGGTGGATAATTTACAACCCTTTCATTGTCCATCCCAAACCCATCATCATCATTTGCAACCCTTATTTCTTCACTATCATCAAGTTTATCTACAATTGACCTTTCTTCCTCCTCCTCATCCTCAACAATCCCACCTTCTTCAGGCCCATTGACCCGTTCTCCATATGCATTGACCTATACTTCAGGCACATTGAGCTCTTCTTTAGGCACATTCACTTCTTCTTCCCTAACATCTTCATTAACCTTTTCCTTCATGGCCTTTACGTGTCTTGCCTTTGCCTCTTCACCCACGACTTCATCCATGCCACCAATACCAATGAAGTGAATTACTTAAGCCTAACTAGGAACATGTTCGACATATATATCAACCTCTTTGTCATTAGTCTCTGCATAGTTAGCCAAGTATATTGATTTCCTATCATCATTCAATATTCTAAGATTGTTGGGTAACTATGTTTTGATCCCTTCCACCAAAGTTTTACATCACCATCATATTTGAAGTCTTTAACTATTTCTAGTGTTTCGAAGTATGACCATCGATCAGGAACGATTTCTTTAACCACATGTATTTTTCCACCAATATATTTCAGTCTCTTGTTCTTTTCAAACTTCTCCATATAATGCAAAGCCACAATGAACCCATTTAGAAACCTACATTATAAATCAAGACTCAAACTCAAACAATCACAACCTTAAACATACATCCTCAACATTAAAAAAATAATAATACCATTTTGGAAACTAACCTGACTTTGAACACATAGACAATAAAACCCACAATAAGCACACTCTTTGTTTTTGTTGATTGAAAGAGGAATCTCATAGCTCAACTCATCTCAATTTCGATTTCAACACTAAATACTGATTTCAATTTCATTTTAAATGTTAAATTTGCTAGTTATGATCAATTTCATTTTTGACGTTCATTACTTACCTTGACACATGTATTGATGATATGGCACATCGTTAGCCACGTTAAAAAAAACAAAATAGCATTTGTTATGAAGGACTAAATCTAGAACTTTTTAAAAAGAAAAGAATAAAAATGGATAAAAAATTTGAAGAGAAACTAAAATCAAAATCATATTATAATTTACATAGTGAAAATATATTTGGTTTAATCCTTTTGAACATCCCTATTTGTGGAGGTTTATCTCAAATAGCTCCTCGTATTCTAAACGATCTCAATTAGGTCCCTTATTGTATAAAATTGAATCAATTTAGACCTCGCCGTTAATTAGGCTAGAAAAAGTTAAAAAATTTTATGCGTGACTTGGTGACATGANCTCAACATTAAAAAAATAATAATACCATTTTGGAAACTAACCTGACTTTGAACACATAGACAATAAAACCCACAATAAGCACACTCTTTGTTTTTGTTGATTGAAAGAGGAATCTCATAGCTCAACTCGTCTCAATTTCAATTTCAACACTAAATCCTGATTTCAATTTCATTTTAAATGTTAAATTTGCTAGTTATGATCAATTTCATTTTTGACGTTCATTACTTACCTTGACACATGTATTGATGATATGGCACATCGTTAGCCACGTTAAAAAAAACAAAATAGCATTTGTTATGAAGGACTAAATCTAGAACTTTTTAAAAAGAAAAGAATAAAAATGGATAAAAAATTTGAAGAGAAACTAAAATCAAAATCATATTATAATTTACATAGTGAAAATATATTTGGTTTAATCCTTTTGAACATCCCTATTTGTGGAGGTTTATCTCAAATAGCTCCTCGTATTCTAAACGATCTCAATTAGGTCCCTTATTGTATAAAATTGAATCAATTTAGACCTCGCCGTTAATTAGGCTAGAAAAAGTTAAAAAATTTTATGCGTGACTTGGTGACATGAGCAAGTTGTTCTAACGTGACATACATTGGTTGTTGAGTTGGCTTTCTTTTAAATAAGTTGGTGGTCGGCCAGGTGGTCGACTACTCAGCCTGGTGGTTGGCCACTCGGCCTGGTGGTTGGACGAACACCAAACCGAGTGGCCGACCACCAGGCCGATTGGCCGACCACTAGGCCGAGTAATGTATGCTACGTCAGAACAACTTGCTCATGTCACCAAGCCACGCATCAAAATTTTTAACGTCGTCTAGCCTAATTAACGGCGAGGTCTAAATTGATTCAATTTTATACAATAAGGGACCTAATTGAGATCTTTTATAATACTATGATTTATTTGAGATAAATCTCCACAAATAGGGATGTTCAAAAGGATTAAACCAATATATTTAACCCTTTTCAATATACTCAATAAAAAACTTCCATTTTCAATATTTCACGTTCTGCCACAAGATCATCAAGGGCTCCATAATCAAATCCATTACCCACGTCCTTTAATATATGTACCAGAGATTTTCTTTAGAAATCAAAGGCACCATTGTTAAACAAAAAATTTACCTTCCATAGACAACAATAGCAACTGAGCCCTATGATGAATTGTAGTACCCACCAATTGGAAAGAGAAAAAAAAGCTCAACTTTAGTTCTCTAATCCGTAAAATGTGTTTTGTCAAAAGATGGAAATTGTAGTTGGATTCTCTTAAGAACCGCAGAAGATGTTTCTTGACAATCTTAATGAATCAGAGGTGGAGCCTCAATATTTTCCCATGCTTATAGTTGGCATATATGAGACTAATCCTTTAATAGCTTATTGTAATCCTTGCAAAGCTTTTTGTGTAGTTTCTTTAGAATCTACTACATTTTTTTTCTAAAGAATTCAAACAAATTTTCAATTCTTTGTTGACCGTTATCTCTCCTAACTTAATGATACTTGTTGGGGTTTCTTTTTCTCAACCTCATGCTCCCTCTTCTTCCTATCTCTCTTCTATTATTAGTGAATTATAACTATAACCCCTTCATACAACTGAGTTATGTTTAATTAACAAACTCAATAAACTAAACACTAAAAACCTATATCGATAAATGAGTTATAACAATTTATTAAAGAATATAACGATCTCTTTATCCAATTATGATAATGGGACAATTTCTAACATGATGACTTCATCATTCTAAAAAAATCTCATTATTTTACATTTATTGTAATATTATTTTTATATTAAATCAAATCACCTCACAAGTTAAAAAGATCTCATATATTAAAACATAAAAAAGAAAACAAATTAATAATCAGATCATCGTAAATTTAATAGAAAGATATAATTCTTTTTAGTATTCATCATACTAAATAAAATTTAGGTTTAATAGGTTTGGAGGTCTCTATATTTGCAGGTTCGTTTCAATTGGATCCTCCAATTTTGGAAGTGATCAATTGGGTCCCTAATTTGGTCAATTTGATTTAATGATAGCATTTTCGTTAAATGCAGTTAACGACGTTAACTTTTTTAAAGGTGGCAAGCTGAGGCATCCAGGTGGCACCGTTTGAGCTGTATAAGTGTATTTTTAACATTTTTAATTGTTAAATATATTAATAAATGAAAATATAATTATATTAAAGACACAAGCTGAAACATTTTAATATCGTCTCTCTCTCTTTCTCTCTTTCAACTCACCCTAGTGAGAGAAACAAAGAAACAAACATAGGCACAGTTGAAAATGGCCTGCACATCTTCTCTTACCAACCATGAAGAACTTCTTTCTTTGAAGAGAATGGCTCTCGGTGACGATGCACAGCACCACTCTCCCTCCATCCTCGATGCGCTTCTCTGCGAAGAGCGTGACACCTTCGACGAAGATTTCGATGCGAACGGCGCTGAGTGTGAGATCAACGACGATGACCCATCTGGGAGAAAGTTGCAATCTTTTCCTTTGGCTTTGCTTCAAAATGATCTGTTCTGGGAAGATGAAGAGCTTGTGTCTTTAATCTCGAAAGAGGGAGAGACCCATTCGTGTTCTCTTAGTGCCATTGCCGATTTTAAATTATATTTTCATTTATTAATATATTTAACAATTAAAAATGTTAAAAATACACCTATTTAGTTCAAACGGTGCCATCTGGATGCCTCAGCTTGTCACCTGTTAAAAAAGTTAACGTCGTTAACTGCATTTAACGAAAATGTTATCATTGAATCAAATTGACCAAATTAGGGACCTAATTGATCACTTTCAAAATTGAAGGACCCAATTTAAACGAACCCGCAAATATAGGAATCTATTAAAGCTAAAATTTAATAGATCCGCAACCAATTAAAAAGATAGACTTTAATCGTAATTAATCCATAAAATATTATACTAGTTTGATGAATAAAACATGTCATTACTCAATACCGTTCGTGTAGTCATCCTTGTATGGGTAGGATTAATTAAACAAATATAATTGGAGATAAAACCCAAAATCTTAAACCCTATCAATCACGGTTCTACCTTATGTGGCGCAGAGCCAGAGCCGGTTACGGTTACCTCCGCCGTTTCTCAACGGTGGTGCGGCGGCGCTCGGAGGACGAAGGGGACTGGCTCTACTCCTCCGAGTGGTGGGGATCCGACTCCGACGACGGTCACACCGTTCTTCGATCAACTTCCGGTAAGGGAAATGGCGTTGTTTCGGTCGTCGCGTATCACTCTTCAAGACCCGTTAGTTTCCTCCCTTTCTCAAAGTTTTTGTTTCCTTTAGTTTATTTTTACACGAAGTTTCAGACATTATGTGTTTATGTAAGATATTGAAGTGCTTTGAATTCATTTATTTTAATTTTACCGTGTGGCAAATTGTTCGATTATATTTTTAAATGTTTCGTTTTTTTTTAACAATCTTTGGAGTTTTTCTTTTCAGAACTCATTTGCCTTTTCTGCAAGATTTTGACGATGGGTGTTTGCATGGTTTTTAGAACAGAATGCATTGGTCAGGAATGGAAAGATGGCTTCAGAAAAGGTGTGAGGAGGTGCATCCAGGATATGGGGATGGAGGGAAACTGAGGATACTTGGATACCAATGGAGGGTGCTTCGTTTCAATGACGTTACTCGCCAGAGCACGGCAAAAGTGATGGCAACTTACCACGACAACATGCCAGGAGTTGTCTACCTCATGCAGCAACCACGTTGTTTGGCTGTTCCATGTATATTTCCTAACCATTTAAACTGTGAATAGAAATGTAATTGTGGTCGAATTGTGTCTTCTAGGGTTGGTTAGTTTGGTGTTTCAACCAGTGAAGTTTTATTTGAAAAGCTTTATGTATGGAAATTTGAATATCAGCTTGACTTGTAGGGTAGTGTTTGTTTTTAGTTACTGATTGCTAATATGCAATGTTGTAAGATTACTAAGATTAAAGCTTCTGCTAACCTGCCTGGAGTGCTACCTGTTAGATGATATATATTTAAATTAACTACTAATTTGAGCATCCTTGCTTGATTTGGGGTGGATTTTGATAACAAAAATAAGTTTTATGCTATGCTTAATTATTGAATTCAAACAAAGAGGTCTTCTTCGGAGAGCCTATTTGTTTGGTCAAGGTCTTTGCACGGGATTGAAACCACCTGTTCTCTTTCTATGTTCCCTACTCTGTTTGTCCTATTAAAAAAATGAAAGATAATGTAAAATAAAAAAAATTCCTATGTAAGGATAGTTTCCTTGGTATTTTGTATTTGCTGTTAATTTGGAGGAGGTTCCAGCATTCCTGCATTCCTTATGACGACAATTGCTTTGATGGCTGCCTTGTTAAATCTTGAGCATCTGGCTAAGATTTTGCACTCTTAGATAAGTTATTTTCTTTTATGAATCTTTAAAAATATTTGTTTTGTGCTCGCCACTCCTTTACGACCATTTTTCTCTGGTTGCTATGCCATTGTGGATTTGAATTTTGATATTCTTACTTTGGCCATGGTTATGATTATAGTATTTATTAATGAAGTTCTAGGTGTAATTTTTAGTCATAATTCTTGATTTCTAATTTTTGGAACATATTCATCCTTAATACGATTTTCAGTTCATGTTCAATTAATCCCAAGTATGTAATTTTTTTGTTTAATGCCATGTTGCAGATGTGAAAAGTATGATATCAGCTGGTTTGACTACTATAGCCTCATGTAATTTTGATATTATCAGTGCACTGCAAGGAAAGAAAAATATGCACATTTTATGCATTGGACATGGTGGAGGAAGTTTACCACTGTTTTTGGCAAGTCAAATTCAAGGTGAAAATAGTTCTACCTTTATGGGTTTTTTTTCTGGTTTTAACTTTTGAGTGGTAGCTTGAAACATCCATGTTAAAAGTTATTACTTTTGGGTGGAAAAATGAAAAAATAAAAAATAAAAAAAATCTATCATGGAAATATATCATTCTGTTTCTTGGTATTGACATAGTCATATCTTGCACTGTGAGGGATAAGGCATCGAACCTTGGACGTTGTTATTGTCATTGGCAACCAGATGTAATGTCAGTAGTAATAAACCGACCAACATGTTCATATGGCACCACCTCTTGTGCCCTGATTTATGTGGATACATATTTAGATGGACCCTCATCAATTTATTTCTCTCTCCACCCTCTTAATGCATAGTCTAATTCTTGGTCTCGAGATGATTAGTAGCATAAAGCATGCTACTTTTACTGCATTCTTTTTTTATGATCTAGTTTTTGGGATTTGCTAATGATTTTCTCCCTTGTTTGTTCACTTGACAAATTTATTATTGTAATTGATCCTCATACACCTTGCTTAATTTTCTGTGCAATTTCCAGGTGCCACTGTTCATATAGTTGAAATTGATCCCCTTGTTATATCAGCCTCAATTCGAGCTATGGGGTTCCCGGCTTGCTCACTCAAGACACAATCCGGTGACCAGGCTGTTTCGAAACTTGAAACCATTGATGAAATTATGTGGAAAGGCATCCATGAAAGGATTTGCCTGTACGAAGCAGATGCTGAGGAATTTATTGTTAAAAGTACAAATATATATGATATGATCTTTGTTGATGCTTATGATGGTGATGATATATTTCCCCACAAGTTATGGCGCCCAGATTCAACATTTCTTAAAGCTATGAGTAATCGACTCCATCCCAAACATGGAACTGTTGTGGTGAACCTGCATTCTGACTCTGATGTCTTGAATCTTGATACTGTTCCATCCTCACTTGAGCATATTTTACCAATGGGAAAGTATGTCTCTCAAGTTTGCAGAGCATACAAAGATGTACTTGTAGGAAGAGAAGGTTCTGGTCTTGCTTTTACTGTTGCTGTTCCTTGGGTGTGTAATACTTCCCTTGTTGTGTGTAGAGGTTTTGATAAAGACAGTGAGTATTTTAACCGGGACTTTGTTATTAACACCCTCATTTCCAAATCCCTTGAACTGGAACATGTTATGGACTTGCCATTCTCATGCTTGGAATACATAAAAAGAGGTTTCATTCTTGTTTAATTTATCCCAATCTTATTGGTTTTGCATTCAGCAATTTCTTAACCAATCTCTATTGCTATATGAAACATGTTCTCTATTATTATGATCTGTTGTCAATGGATAAACATTACCACTGGGTTCACTTAATGACAGGATATGGCAGGTTTTGAGTGGATAATGTTATTTTCTTCATCTAGTGCTTTAATGGTATTAGCTCCTTTTCTCTGTAGTAGAGTTTCAGTATTGTGTGTGTGTGTGTGTATATATATATATATATTTAATTTTTAGGGTGCGCATAAATTTAAAACCTATATAGAATTTAGCTTAAAATTAAGAATGTTAATGAGTGCTTAACTTAATTCTGTATAGCTTATAGTTGATATGTTTAAAACATATTCACAAATAATTTTTCTCAATCGAAATATATTTTCTTTTAGTAACGTTGTTTATATAACTGATAATGTTTGAATAAGCAAGCAATATCAGGTCATCTGTTCTAATCATAAATTTGAGTAAGCGACCTTAACTTTTAACAACTTCAATAAGTTACATTATAGATTATTTGACCGAGCTGAAAGATTATGTTTGAGTAAATAAACGAATAACCGGGAAGAAAATAATAAGAAATTAGGTTTATGAAAATATGTTTTTTATAAAATATGGATTCTGAATAATAATGACTAACTATTTATATTATCTTTCTTTTTATTTATGGTTTGTTGTCCAACTTCTGTTTAAATAGTAATCTTTGAAATAGTGTACATGTTTCAATTCAAAGCATCCTATTATTGTGCTGATGTTTATATAAATCACTTAATAAAAAGTTATCAATTAAGTAATCAACATATTTTATCATATGAAATATTATATAAACAAATATTTTCTTATATTTTTTGCTTTGAGAAAAATAATAAAAGGCATTATTGTCATTATTATCGAGATATTTTATAGAAGTAAGTTTATAAATGTATTCTTATCAAATAATAATCCTGCCATATTAGTATGTATTTATATACTAATTTAACTTTTAAAACCTTATAAACTTCCTATTTCAATAACCTTTATTGCATTGATGGTAAAGTTCAATGTACTTATTGAAATTTTTTTTTTGTTCGCAGTTTAACAGAGAAAAAGTGTGTTTAAAAAGTAACACTTAAAAAAAAATAAAAAACCTTTTGTTTGGTTTTCTGTCAAAATTGATTTTAAACCAAGTTTTTATCATAATTTGACATTGAAACTTAACTTTAAATGAACGTAAAGATAAAGGTATTTAAACACTTACAGTGACCTAATCTGAATAAGAGGACCATATTTATTAATTGAGCATGCCCCAAAATGGATGATCCCGTTTGTTATATTTTTTTTTTTATATTACTTATTAAACTAAATTTAAAATATTTATTAAAAATCACAAGTTATTTTAATAAAGTTAAATACAATTATACAAGCTCATTTCAAAGTTTCCTAAATGAAAAAGAAAATCATCTTGGTTATTTGAAGGTTTGGATATCGATTTCATGTAGAAATAAGTATTATTTCAGATTTGAAAGAAAGAAGTATACCTACCAACACTTTAAGTATCATGATAATTTTATAATTAATTAGTTACACAAACTTTATTATCGATATAACAATAACTTTTTTTATTTATCAAATATAATATAAGTCATAACAAATATTAAAAAAACGTATTATTCACTTTTTATTATTTATAATTATTTTATTTAAGTTTATATAATATTTTCCACTATTGCCTCATATTATCCTTCTTTATATTAATATTACTTTCTTAATTTCTATTACACGTGATAAATTCAAATTATGGATTATCAAAGCGATATTTTTGTTAATAAATAAATATTGATATTTTTAATCAATTATTTTTAATAAATATATTGATTCAAAAATTAAGTTAAATATATTAAGAATAAGCTATGTATTTTATGATGTTTTAAAATGGTCAGATTAATTTTTACTACGATAAAAGTTATGGATCAAGAGAGGAGGAGAGTTATTTGTTGAATGAAACGAGAAAGAAACGGTTTACTCAAATAGAACAAGAGAAATTAAAACTGTTTAATAGATTAAAAAATGAAAAAAGGTATTTAAACACTTACAGTGACGTAAAGAATTTTTTTTTTCAAAAAGATACCATAATCACAAATTTTTGATAAACCAAGAAAAATTCATCACCTTGAATTAGGAATTCAAATATAACAATTAAAAGTTTAATTCAAGAACTTAGAGATAATTTCGTTAAGAAAAACTTCAATTTCATAATTGAGTCAATGTAAACTATAATATAGGATACATACAATCTCTGGTCAACCTTAGCCAAGACATGTCAAGACACAACCAAGACCAAATCTTCACTTAACCACGCCTTTATATAAAGAGTCAAGCCTTATAAACTCTCTGAGTTTAGCAAAAATTATCCAATGTGGGATTTAGAATGAGCTAGACATTAAATATGCAACTCAACTTCAACCCTCTTAATTAGGGAATCAAAAACCTTAATGAAAGGAATTACAAGGTATCCACACATCTAGCACAACAACCCCATACTTATGCACATCATGTATACAAGATAAAACACTTATAAAGATTTTAAGAGAGAGTTTTTATTGTGGAACCTAGTCACAATAGGTCGCACCTAAAACAAGTACAGTTGAAGTATTTTTATGTTTTAGTATTGCATCTCCTAGTTCCTCAAGTGCAAGAGGCTCCCTCATCTATATTTAGAGCTTTTGTCCCTTGTAATATTCCCTTTTTCTTAATAAGAATTGATATACATATTCTTGTTAATCTTGTTATTCTTTTAAGGTCAATTTAAATGGAAGTAATATTCTTATTTTCTTCTTCAAGTAATCTTCCTTAAAGAAAGAAATTAAATAGTTCTTAAGGAACTTGGGAAAGTTTTAAGATTTCTCTTGTCTTCTACTACATGGAGAAGGTGCTTCCATCACTTAGCATCAGATCTAGGCTTGAAGGTCTATAAGAGATAAGTTCTCATTTCTTTCCTTTTGTACTATTACTCATTTTCTACATGTTTTCCTTTTGTAGGTTAATTTAATTGTTTTTTATGATCACTGCTTTGCTTTTTTCTTATTTGATTCAATTTTTTTATTTTAATTGCCTTGAATTAATGTCATGTTTAGGAGTTCTATTCACATGCTTTATTTAGCTTTCAATTTATAAATTTTCCTAGTAGTTGAGAGTTTAGTTCTTAATTGTTCATAAATTCCTTAGAAATTGTCTTACAAAATTTTGCAAATTTTCAATATCAAAACACAAAAACATTTTTATTTAAGCTTTTCATTTTGTTTTCAAATCTTCCTTATGCTAAAACTTCCAAAATAGTTTTCCTTATAAGTGAATGTCAAACCACTTTTAATGTTTTTTCCATTGAGTTTTAAAGTGAATCTTTTCTTAGAACATACTACACTTATTGTTAATAGATTTTGGAAGTGAAATTCAAGCTATAAGTTGAGTTGCTCTTGAATATAAGTGGAAAAACATTTAGACCCGTGACTTTCTAAGATGAAAAAGAAAATTAAAATCTAAAAAACAAAAAAAAAGGATTGACCAAACATGCATAAAAAAAAAGAGAAGAAACTAGAGCAACTCACACAATAGTAGCACTTGTTTATGCATTTGATTACTATTTTAGTTAATTACATGACTTGAATGGTATATTAAGCATCATTGAGTGTGAAATTCTTTTAATTACATATTGAAGTTGCAATGGTGTAATTGATTTGTTCTTGATTCATTTTACATTTTAATTATGCTTTATTAGTCATAATTTAGAGTCATTCACTAGTTTCATTTTTAATTCCTTCTTGTAATCTTTTGCTTTCTTTTATTGTAAATTACTTTGAGTTTTATCATCTATATTTTCCATTTGAAATTTGTTCAGTTCTAATTATGTTTTCTCGATTTTTGTTTCTTACTCTAAGTGGAAAGAGAATTTGATTAATTCTTCACTTGTTTCTTTAAACTCACCTCTTTTAAAGTAGCATTTTAGGTGTTAAAGTGAGAATTGTTGAAGATACTATTGTGTGACTTTAATGAACAAAGAAGACAAGACTGAAAAGAGTATACACTTGAAAGGAAGCTTCATTTAGTTGTTGGACCCTCACAAAAATAGCCAAAATTATGGAAAATTTGTACCTATTTTAGTTTGTTTTTGTCATGAATTTTATGTAAATTTTATTGCAAGTTTTGCTTTGTAATTCATCTCTTCAAGGAAAGTTCCTTGAAGGAGAAAAGGAGAAGATTACTAACATTTAATTTAACCTTAAAAGACCAAGAAGATTACCAAAAATATGCATATCAATTCTTATTCAAGCAAAGGTGAATATTACAACGAGGTAAGGACTTTATTTATAAATGGGGAAGCCTTTTACACTTAATGAAGTAGGGGATGTGGGGCTAAAACAATTAAATTGAAGCTAAGTCTCACATTCCCAATTTATTTGTTTGTGTAAGCTAGAGGATGTATATGTATTATTTCGGGTGTAAGGTTGAGTAACTCTAGAGGACACACCTTCACAATTTACTCCTTAGCTGCTCAGGTAACACAATTTGTCTTAGTCTAAGTCCTTTATTCTTACCGCTCCAAACCGTTCAAGGGTACCTCCAAAAGACACTCTGATGCTTAAGTCAGTAAGTAATTCGGACGATAGTCAGAGCAAAGTCTTAAATTCACAATAAATGTGATCACCTACCTCTTACCTTTGACCTCTATTTATAGTTTTTGAGATCGGCCTAAGATTAGAAAAACCCTAACCACGACCCAATCTTAGCCCATTACACAATAATTAATACTTACTCTTAACCTTGGTTTGTAGTGTCTCTTAAGAGATGTTTTTTTGTTGAGATTATCTATTTGGCCTTTAACCCTACTTGGCTGAGCGACCTTTATCTTGTATTGTCCAAATTTGGGAGTTCGAACATGTTGATCGGTTGCTCCTTTTTCGTGACTCTTTCCGCTCGATCTTAGCAACTCGATCTTAGCAACTCGATCGTCCGGCCATACAGTACATGTA